GCCGCCGCCGCCGCCGCCGCACCCTCGCCGTCGTCGTCGCCGGGTCCATTAACGTCATCCTGTCCCGTGTCGCCGTCGCCCGTCTCATCGCGCCGAAGAAAAGACGCCCCTCGCAATCTCGCCGCCGCCGTGCCACCGCCGCCGTCGCCTTTCGGATGGCATTCTCTATGCCGGGACGGATGTGTCGGGCGGGACGGAACAAGCGTGTCCTTGCTCTGGGCTCGGCCCCCGCCCCGCTATACGGATGGATAGATGGAGAGATGGATAGGTGGATAGAGGCGGAGATAGAGAGCCGATCACAGAGAGCCCCGGAGCCGCCGAGTGGCAGCAGCGGCGATATTGCAGCAACCGGCGGCGCGCGCTGTCACTGTGGTATGCACATGACTAACCGGACAGGCGGACAGCGGCGGACAGCGGCCGACAGTGTAGGGGGAGGGCCCGCAAAAAGCAAGTGAGAGACATGGGCCGCAAATCCAGCCCAACCGACACTCGGCAGCAACGAGGCTGATGTACGCGCGGGCGTCGAGCAGATAATATAAAGAAAAGTGACAGGACGTTTATTCGCGGCCGCGCCCACCATAGACTAGAAGGCGTTTGGCGTGGCCACTATGTGGACACACTTTGCTGGTGTGGTGGCCGACCCGCAGGCCCCTGAGAATGTTTTATGCTATCGAGTATGGCAACCCCACAGTCTTGCCTTATTACGTGGGCAAGAGAGCAAAAGAAGCCCGTAACGCTGCAACAGCAGCAGCGTCCGCTCTGATACACCCGGTTACAATACACACGAAGACCTTCGATGGTTCGGAGGGGTAAAAGTGAAAGCGGCAATACACACACACACGACAGGTGGATGGATGATTGGGGAGGAGGCAAGGCGGAAAGGGCGGGGTGGGGACGAGGGGGCTGAGTGGGAGGGGGTGAGACAGAGGGGGGGGGGGTGCGGGGCAGAGGGCGGCCCCGCCAGCAGCGAGACCCGCCCCGGGGGCCACCCGTCCGTCTAATCCGGCCCTGGCCGACGGCAGTCCGGGTTATTTATGCTCGGAAAATATTGCAGAATGGCAATAATAATAATAACTTTGGAAGCAACGATCGCTGGCCGTCGTCCGTCCCTGGTCCGTCCAGAACGGAGACGCGGAGATGACAGCAAGGTGACAGCTCAAAGGAAAAGGAGGACAGAACGCCCCCCAAAACAGAAAGGGATGCGAACTGACCGGCTGTGGCCATCAAATTCAGGCGCAGGGTGAAGCGGAGTGACACCTGTGGCGCGTCCTGCGCCTTGCACTCGTGCTCGCTCGGCCAGATCCACCGAAATGATGTGGATGATGGTGTCTGCATGCGTGTGCTTATGTATGCTCATGATCATCCCTTCTTACCTTTTTTCTCTTTCGCTCGCTGACGTTGGTGCGGCGATAAAAATCCAAACAGGTTGTGTCGTCGACCGCGGCCGATGTAAAATTCCAACACAATATTCACACGACGCGGCGATCACTTGGGACGGTCGCGGCGGCAAGGGCGCACGCACTGACCAGCGCAGAGTTCGGGAAAGAAAACAGGCAATGGTCGTTAATCGTGAGATTAAGGGGTTATGTGGCTAAAAAACCTCTGAATAGGCGGTTCAGAAAAGAAAGGTGCGCACGCTTGCCCAAGGCCGGAGGTTAAGTTTCCTTTAACGGGATTAAGCGCGTCAAAAGGATTTGCCCCGCGTGCGTGATTAGCCAAGTCAAAACAATTTGCCCCCGTACTAAAACACTGAAACCACCAGACGGCTAGCTAACAGCGGCCAAAGGGTTTAACCCCGCCTCACACACACACACACAAGCACACACTCACACTCTCTCTCTCTCTCTCTCACACACACACACACACACACACACACACACACACAATGCCTTAATGACGCACTAATCCCTGGCCTTGAACAACGCGCGCTCCTTTGAGGCGATAGCGGCGCTTAATTACCGTTTGTCTTTTGTCGAGCTACACAGGGTGCACAAGTAGTGTGCACGGCACAACGCGAACGGCTGTAGCGCGGGAGCTGGAGCACGGCACGGCACACGCGGCGCGGGGCGGGCGGCTCACACCTGGGCGGGGGACGGGCGCTGACTGACTGCGCTCACAGGCAGGCCGGCCGGAGCAGCGAACCTGCTGCTGGCAAAGCCGCCGCCGCCGCCGCGCCGGCCGGTACCCCCACCCCCTCCCCCGCGGGCCGGCGCTGCGACAGCGGCGGCAGCGGCGGTGGCGGCACCTGCCAGTCCCGCAGCACAGCTGCTGCTGCTGCTGCTGCTGCTGCTGCTGCTGGCCCTGCAGACCGCCGGCCAGGTGGTGCGAGGTGAGGTGAACCGAGGCGGCAAGGATGCGTAGGACGAAACCTGCCGGCGTCCGCGTCCGTTCGCCCGGGCAGAAGAGGAGGGGAGGTCGACCCCGAGGCCAGGGAGACGCGGCCGGTGGCGATCGGAAAGGGGGTAAGAAGCCAGAGGCGCGGCCTCGGCCTCGGCCGTCGCGAGGGCGACGTCGGAAGCAAGTCCGCGGGGCATGACGATTTTTAGATCGAGAGGAAAAGCCGGTACCACGGGAGCGGAAACCCCCTGAACCCCCGCACTCGCGTCAGAAATACAAAACAGAGCGCAGCAGGGAACACGAATGAGTCGACGTTATGTATCTAGTATTTTGGAGCTGAGACAGAATTCCGAATCAACAATCTCGACACTACACGGTGTACGTTTGTGGCCCCCCCTGGTGACTCAGAGACGTCCATTGCAGCGGTCCAGTTTTCAGGAGAGCCCGTCACTGGGAGAGCCCGAGCAGGTGGGAGTGGGAGTGCCCCACTCCTCTGAACCCGTGGTGTGGTGGTCCCGTGACGTCGAATCTGGACCACGATAATAGGTTCGCAAAGCTGGAGGGCTGAAAGTTTGCAGCACCAGTTTGTTGTAGACAAAGGGGCACGGAGGCAAGGGGCTCAAGGGGCGCTGAGCGGCCCGGGGCGGTCCGGTCCAGTCGTCAGCCGGAGCCGAAGCAACTTCTCAGCCGGAGACACGCGACGCCGCTTCGGCTCCGGCGTACGATGGGTTGCCTGCCGCTCGGGCGGGCGGTGCGCGAGCGAGCGAGCGGGTTGGACAGGACATGGCACCTT